TTTTTTTTTTTTTTTTTTTTTTGAGATAGGGTCTTGCTACGTAGCCCAAGCTGGCCTTAAACTCACAGCACTCCTTCTGCCTCAGCTTCCTGAGTGTTGGGATTATAAGTGTGTGCCATTACACCTGGCTAAAAAAGGTATTTCTTAAAATCATTGGAGTTTGGGAGTAAGTGACCTTAGGAATACAGAAGATCAGCGAGCAGGCCCTGGATCCCAGCAGTACAGTTTCCAGAGGCTCTCAACTCTGCTACAAGGCAGTCACCTAGGCTGCTTATCAAAAGCCAACACACACAGGTGCACGTGTGCATGCGCACACACACACACACACACACACACACACACACACTTTTTTAATTTAGATTTCTTGAAATGTGGAGAACTATGTATTCATCGGCACCAGAATCATCTCTCCTCAGGGGAAGCTTGGTGTATTAGTCAGCTTTGGTGGCTGTGATAAAATTCCTGAGATAATCAATTGTTGATGGAAGGTTGGCTTTGGCTGAAAGTTTCAGCCTGTGAGTAGCTGGCCTGTTGGTGCTGGGGCTGTGTCAAGGCATGTGGTAGAGCAGATCCCTCCTTTGTTGTGGACAGGAAGGGAAAGAAAGACAGGAAGGGCCAGCCCCACGGTCAAGGGTCCCCCACAATGGCTTCATTCTTTCTATGAGGCTCTGCCTACGACGGTCACGTCACTCCCAATGTCACAGGGGCCCACCATGCCTCTACACGTGGTGGGCCTTAGGCGGCCACTCAAAACCCAAACTGTAGCACTCAGAAACATCAACCCCAAACCACATCTCTGGGTTCTGCTCACTCATTTTCCCATCTATCCTTCCTTAGCTAGAAGAAAAGCGTGCATCTTTGTTCTGGTACTGGGGATGGAACCCGGGGCCTCCACACTGAGCTATATCCCCAGCCCTTTTTATTCTTTATTTTGAGACAGGATCTTGCTAAATCACTGAATTGCCTAGGCAGAGCCTGAACTTGGCATTCTCCGACTCAGCCTCCCCACTGTGCTGGGATTACAGGCATGGGTTACCAGGCCCAACTCATAAAAATTTGTTTAAAAGGCCAGCCTGAAAAGCTTCCCAGAAACCCCAGAAGGATTTCTGGTTTTTTTATTTTGTTTTTGTTTTTGTGGGGGTTTTTTGGGAGGAGGGGGGGGTGGTTGTTGTCGTTTTGCTATGTAGTTCAGATTGGCCTTGAACTCCTGGTGATCCTCCTGCCTCAGCCTCCTGAGTACTGAAATTGCATGCACGCACCATCACTGCTAGCTATGTACCTATTTTTAAGCCAGGATCTTGGAGGGAGCACACAAGCTTCTCCACAGACCAGTGTATGCAGGGTAGTGACAACGCACTTGAGAGCCCCAGAAAGCAAACCCGGAGGCCTAAAGACATCACGGCACAGCTGGGGAGAGGATGGGCACAATATGGGAAGCATCCCCAGATGGGCCCCAGACCAAGAGCTCTCAGAAAGGTACTGTCAGGCTGTAGATGAAAGACACCAGAGGAGGCCACATGATCACAAGATCCAGGACCAAGAGAGAAGGCAGCCCAGGGAAGACTGTTCTTTTTAAGGGTTTGTTTGTTTGTTTGTTTGTTTTTTTTTTTTCCCCCTTCACACACATTTGTTCTTTTTAAGGGTTGGTTTGTTTGTTTGTTTGTTTGTTTGTTTTACCCCTCCTGACACACATGGCAGCCCTGCCCTGTGCCCAGACACCAGGAAACTTGTGAAAGCCCTGTGCCAGCCCTGAGTCTTCCTGCACTGCCACACGTCGGGGAGGGAGGGAGGGAGGGAGGGAATGCAGGAAGCAGGTAACAGCTTCCAACTGCTGCAACATCGAGACTGAATCCACTCCCTGCGACTCCTCCACAGCCTTCTCCTGCATCGCTGCGC